AAGAGCGTTTTCGTTCTTGGTCTCTTGTTGTGAAGAGCCGGTTCTTATCAGTAGTTCATCCTGCCGGCCCACAGTGAAGTGATGTGATGAGAATGCTCTCAAACTCAGAGTGAACGGGACGTGGCACCTGCCACATCAAACAAAGATAAACACAGGCAGAGGTCACTTTCCATCTTCTATAGACGTGACCTTTATCGACATCACCTGTGTATCCTGCTGTGTACATAAGGTTTCACATCCAGAGCCATCGATGTCGTGGGAATGTATTCCAAGTATGTGTTTTTAAGGTTATTTGTTCTTCTGTTTCCATGAACAGATATCAGTATTACCTGCAAGTCAAAAAAGACGTGCTTGAAGGGCGGTTGCGATGTACGCTGGAACAGGTGATCCGGCTGGCGGGCTTAGCTGTGCAAGGTAAGAGAGTGGGGACTGGTGTGTGACAGTCCATCTTCTGTTGGATGTTGGTGTTGCTGGCCTCTCAGAGGGAAAAGTTAAATTTACTTAAACTATCCCTTAGTAACTCTCACTTTTCATTTCAAGGTATCTTACATTAAAAATGCAAAGAGAGTGATTTTTAGAGGCAGGATGTTGGATTTCTCAAAGCTGTTTGCAAATTGCTCATGCTTGTATAATTTTAGTTTTATTTGAAGAAACAGCAGCTTTCATCCCGCCTCTAAGTAAAGCTACATTGCAGGGTTGGTGGAACATTTTCTTAGAATCTTTTCACTGCCCAACGTGGTCATATTTTGTGGCTTGACGCTATGACTGTGTGACTTTCGCATCAGTTTCAAGCGTGAGAGCTTAAAACATTGTAGTGTAATTTATTCCGACACAGTTAAAGAGAGATTTAAAATGCAAGATTGTCATGTGGAACAACAGATGTGTGTTAGAGTACATTTATCTTTCAACTTGTCCTACTTAGATTGATCAGACACCTATGTTTTTATCTTCTCTAAATTGTTACACATATTTACGTAACACACCATGTAATTTTTTACATATCTTTATACATTACTCTTTATTGAGGGGTAGCTTCATTGTCTTTAGTCATGTTGAAAACAAGAAAAAAGTATAATTTTTAAAGAGAGACAAGTTTCCCTTTGTAGTCATGATTTTCTTTAAAATCAGGTACCGTCCAAATGCAAGCCTGCCAGCCGCCAAGTCCTTGCTGTGTGGATTGTTGTTGCAGAAGTTGAGAACTGAACTTCCCATCTGTAACTGCACTGAAGTTAAACCTTTTGGGTTTGAAATGTCTAAAGAGGCAGCCTCTCCTTGATAACTTTCATTTTGGGGATATTAGCGGGTTAGCGATTTTTGTTGGACGTATGATTCTTAGTAGTTAGCTTCTCCTGTTCCCCTGTGGATTGGAAGTACGCAAAATATGTTGTGTCTCATCTGTTCACCTAACGCTGGAAGGGGAAGGAGCAATGCCCAGAACGATATAACGAAACCACCCGTAGTTACAACTGAAAAATCATTAAAACAGTGGAGAAGACACCCTTAATGGGAGAAGAGAGGGAAGATCCAGTGGGTCCCTCACCTTCATATTGGGTCGTTCTCCTTTCAAATGCTTCCTTTTCACTCACTCTCTTTTTTTCCCTCTCACTCTTTAATCATTGGGCTCATTACAGGCATCCTGGATATTGGAGGACCCTAGTGATAGCTTTCAGGCTGAAGGAAGTTGGTGAACTTACTCTGGGTTCCCTTTTCCTTGGGTCCTTGAAGCTCGCTGTTCAGTCTGATGAAACCTCCTCTAGCTATAATATTTGTAAAATAATTTTTCTGAGAACCCTTACTGGGCAGTTAGAAAGCCACATCAACAGAGATAAAAGCTGTGATGAAATACAACAGATAACTGACCTTGAAATTAGGCAGAGCTCACGATCTTTGGTGTTCCTGAGTGCCTCACCTTGTTAATTAGTTATGTGCTGAGTTTTTAGGTGCATCTTTGCCTTCTTGGTAACGGCCTTCTGTGTGTTCTTGTTACCTGAAAGATACCTGAATCCATTTCTAACTGATGCTAAACATTTTACATGAAATTAAAATTTCATGTGGCTTTGAGGTTTTTCTTTTTTGTTGAGAGCAAGTAGGATTAGAAGCAAGACATTTATAGATTTATGATAGAGGCTCACTGTATTCATTTTACATGTGCTCAAACTTACAACTGTGAGATGAAAATAGGACAAAACAGAACTTTGGGCATCTTATAACATGTGGAGTTGTTTAGAAGGTGTAAAAATTTGCAAGGATGCTTGCCAAGGGTGATTTACAGTGGGAATTTCCAGCTGCAAATACATGAAGAGATGCAGATGGGTTTGGCTCTTCAGTTCTCTAAATTAACCTTGAGTTAAAAAGTCCCCTTGACATGGGCTTCCGTGGTGGCACAGTGGTTGAGAGTCCGCCTGCCGATGCAGGGGACACGGGTTCGTGCCCCGGTCCGGGAAGATCCCACATGCCGCGGAGCGGCTGGGCCCGTGAGCCATGGCCGCTGAGCCTGCGCGTCCGGAGCCTGTGCTCCACAACGGGAGAGGCCACAACAGTGAGAGGCCCACGTACCACCAAAAAAAAAAAAAAAAATGTTTCTTGGCAGATATTATTAAGATATGTGTTGGTGAATATTTAATAAAAAGGTAAATATAGATTTGTTTTAAGTTTTTAAAATAGCTTAGGGGTCACTTTCAAATTTCCCCATTCTTTCTAGAAAATTATGTAGCAGTGCTCACGTGCTGACATTTACATTATTGCTATGTAAAAGTGGTAGTAACATCAAACCCATCTTGGCACTATTTTTATTTAACAATAGTACAGAAGTAGGATAAAGTGGCGAGAGTAAATGTGGTGATAAGTTTACCCTATTTTATTCCATCTTTAATGTCATATAATAAAGACTGCCCTCCTTCCCCTTCTTTTCTTTTCAGCTGATTTTGGAGACTATAATCAGTTTGACTCTCAGGATTTCCTCAGAGAATATGTGCTATTTCCAATGGTAAGTGTAATTTCCTTTTTCTTAATTAATTTTCTACCTTCTTTGGATATTTAATTCTTTCCTTTGAAAATCTCAGAGGAAGTTACACACATATTCCCTAGGGAGAATGTCCCTGCATTTATAAAGTAGGGACAAGTTTTGTAAGACACTGAGAATGGTAAAGATGCCTCTTCTTACCTCCTCAAGACACTTCCCTGCCCCCGGCCCCATCACACTAGCCTCCACTACTATGTTCTATCTTCCTTTCTGAGCACACCCAGCTTGGTCCCATCCCAGAGCCTTTGTACTGCGCCTCCTCTGCCTGGAATGCTCGACCCCAGGTCTTCTTATGACTTGTCATTCAGGTCTTGATTCAAATACCACCTCCTCAGATGTATAATACCATCTGTATTATACACTCCAACCATCCAGCACTTCCTGCCCTTTTATGTGTATACTTCAGAGCTCTTTCAGTATCTGAACGTGTTCATTCTTTCTTTCATTTTTATTGTCAGCTGGAATGTCAGCTCTATGGTCCTTAAGCAGGGACTCTATCTATCTCATCCACTGTTGTCTGGCACATAATTTGCATGCATAAAAGTCTGTTGAATGTGTCCATGAAGTAAAATGTTTATTCCTGGGTTAAATTAGGGATGAGGCTAGGTTTTTATCCCTGGAGTATTTTTGTTTGTTTTCTGGTAGCTTTGGAGTAATTGAGAAGAGCTTTCACGAGGAAAGTTAAAACATTTGAAAAACCATTTTAGGGAAAGGCTATGCCCACTCCCACATTCCGGCTCTGATTTTAGAAATCACGAGCATTTACCACTTTTTTCCCCCTGAGGGATAAAGTTATATAAGAAACGGTGCTTGTTCTCAGGGCGTCGACAAAGTGGCTGAGTCAATAGGAAGTTTGCAAAATCCTAATGCAAATCCAAGTGTAACAAAGTATGGTAGGGATCCTATGTGGGGAGAGGTTACCTGTTTTGGGACCTGAGGGTAGGTCGAAAGGCTAATGGTGTGTGAGCTGCATCTTAAAGGATGGGCAGCATTGCAGCAGGCAGAGAGGGAAGGAGCAAGGGATGCTCTAGACAGAGGGTGGAGGAGGATAGGCAAGGCGGCCTGTGTAACTGGGTGGGAGTCAGCTGGCCAGTCTGATGGCCGCTCAGGGGTACGGAGGGGAGCGGTGGCAGAGAAGCCTGAAACATCTGAGGAGTTAGAACGCGTGGGCTCCGTCCAGGGGTTCCAGACCCCACACTTTGAGGACCACTGGATTAGAGTAATGAGACCGTTTGCGGAAGGACGTCAGATAAGAATCTGTTGTGGTGTTCTCGGCAAGACGTAGGAATTAGGTGTTGGCAGTGAAGATAAAAACGGAAAAGCAAAATGCAAAAGATATTTTGGAAGTCCAAAATATCTGTCCAGTGGGCAGAGCTTGGCATCTAAACTACTGTGGCATATGGGAGAAAGTAGAGGGTCTGGCGGCAAAGGTTTTAAGTTTTGAGAGACTAGGGTAAGTAAGGTTGCAGTTATTTCCTGTGTCAGTGATGAGATGAATCTAATTGGTCCAAAACTGAAAAAAAACTTTAAAAAAATTTTTATACAATTCTTAAAGGTTACTTTCCATTTACAGTTATTATAAAATGTTGGCTGTATTCCCCATATTGTACAATACATCCTTGAGCCTCCCTTATATCCAGTAATTTGTACCTCCCATTCCTTCCTCCCCTACTCGTAACCACTGGTTTGTCTGTGAGTCTGCTTCTTTTTGCTATATTCACTAGTTTGTTGTAGTTTTTTAGATTCTACATATAAGCGATATCATACAGTATTTGTCTTTCTCTGTCTGACTTATTTCAGTTAGCATAATACCCTCCAAGTCCATCCATGTTGTTGCAGATGGCAAAATTTCATTCTTTTTTTGTGGCTGGGTAGTATTCCATTGTGTGTGTATCCATACACACACACACACACACACACACACACACACACACACACACACACACACCCCGCATCTTCTTTATCCATTCATCTGTTGATGGGCACTTAAGTTGTTTCCATAGCTTGTCAGTTGTAAATATTGCTGCTATGAACATTGGGGTGCATGTATCTTTTAGAATTAGTGTTTTCTTTTTTTTCAAGATATATACCCAGGAGTGGAATTGCTGAGTCATAGAGTAGTTCTATTTTTAGTTTTTGAGGAACCTCTCTATTGTTTTCCACAGTGGCTGCACCAGTTTACAGTTTCCACCAACAGTGTACAAGGGTTACCTTTTCTCTAAAGTGGTGGAAAACTTAACCTTATTCTTCTAGGTTAGGGAAATACTGCAAAATCTCTAACTTTTTATGAATAGCTCTCTCATTCTTCTTCCCACCAAGATAATAGCAGTATTATCTGCTGGGCCTGCTGCTTTTTATGCCTTATTAATTCCACCGATTAAATCAACCTCCATTCAAAGAGATTAGCATATTACTTAGCAGAGAAGTTCTTCATAGGACTTGGTGTCAGTATCTGTAACATCTCAGAAGCTCACTCAAAAGTCAGGATGTTTTCCGGTGTGCTCCGTGAGAGGAAAGTGAAAGTGATACCTTAGAATTTTAGAGAACGTGTAAGTTTGTGTCAAACGGAGACAATGAATTGGGTTGATAGTTTTTCACAATTTTTTTTTTTTTTTTAACCTTTCTCTCATTAAAGGTCTTTATCACATAGCCTTTAGGCAGAGATCAGGAGAATTTTCAGGGGTGATTATGAGCATGAGATGTTTGAGTTTGTAGGTGGTAAAATGCTTTGACAGGTTAAAGTGCTGTAAAGCAGCAAAGAAGTTATTTTGTGTATCATACCTTTTTCAGAATAAGACCATGTCTCCGCTGGGCTCTAAGCAAATCAGATATTAAAACAGCAAAGACCTCATTCAGTCTCACTATGCCAGACAGATATTGATGTTGTTGTCCTTGGATCTAAAAGTTCCCTCTTTGGTATAGTAGCTGCTAGTGACAGGTGGCTATTTACATTCAAATTGAAATTAATTAGCATTAAATAAAATTAAAAATTTAGTTCCTCAGTTGCATTAGCTACATTTAAAAAAACGTTCAATAGCCACATGTGGCTCATGGCTGCTGTACTGGAAAGCTTGGGTATAGAACATTTCCATCATTCCAGAAAGTCCTATTGGACAGCCCTCAGGATGACGTGGCAGAAGCTGATGTCAGCATGCATATCTGATTCGTGAACATTCCTAGGCTTCTGCCATCAGTCATGTATCCTGTCCTCCGCCCCACGCCCCTGACCCCTGTTGTATCCTCGATACACTGTGGCCTGTGGTCAGGAGGTTTAGAGTATAGGGGTCAAGTGTTCTGTGCCCATATCCTGGCTGTGCCACTTACTGGCTGTACAAACTTGGGCAAGTTATTTAACCAAAGCCTCCATTTTCTCATCTAAAAATGAGGATAACAAGCCTAATCTGACCGTGAGGATAAAAGGAGAGAATGCATGTGAAGGACTTAATTGGGCACATGGTAAATTCTCAGTAAGTGTTTATTTAGTTGTCATCATAATCACCGTTGTCCTCACATTATTATTATCAGCAGCATTATTTTTCTGTCTCTGTTAGGCAAGCACAGGATGCTGAAGAGTGTGCTTTCCAGGCAACAATACTCTATGCACTTTGAAATGTGAGCAGACCGAGGACAAGCAGAGTGCATAAATTATCATTCAGCGGCTTCGCGTAACTTGAACCCTACTCAATACCCTGTAATGGCCTATATGGGAAAAGAGTCTAAAAAAGAGTCAATACGTGTATACGTATAACTGATTCACTTTGCTGTCCAGTAGAAACTAACACAACATTGTAAATCAACTACACACCAATAAAAATTAAAACAAAACAAAAACAAAAAAACCCTCGCTTGACAATATGAAACTGACACGTTGCATATTGAGCTCAGCTCAGCTCAGCTCAGTCAATGTTTATTGATCGTCTACTGTATGTTGAGAGTTTATAAGCTGGCATTGTTCAAAGCCCTGAGTTGGGCCCTGGAGGCAGTGTGGAGGCTTGCTGCTTGCTGACCTTTGGTGCCTGTCATCTAGCAGAGGGAGGGAGACAAGGATAAAGGGTAAGATGAGTATCCAGATAACTATGTAAGAAAGACAATAGGTAAACTATGGTAAGAACTCTAAGAGAGACGCACAGGGCGGAAGAGGTAGGTCCAGAGAGGGAAAGGCTTCTGTCCCACATGAGAGAATATGGAAGCCCTGTCCAGGGAGTGGCAGGTGTGTCAGGACCTGAAAGATGGGGTGAGATGTGAAAGCAGTTTGTGTTAGGAAGAGTCGGCCTGAGGCCTTGAACCTTTGAGAGAAGAGGTCTGAAGGGACAGCTGAGTCACACTGAAGAATGGTCTGAATGCCAGGCCCAGGTGTTGACCTAATTGAGTAGGCAGTGGGGAGCCATGGAAGGTTGCAAACTTTCTGCTTGCTTCCACTAGAGCTTTCAAAGGGAAGAATGCATTCCTTTGGTGGGGGAGGGAAGATGGGATGAATGGCTGTGTTTGATCTTATAAAGTAACTGAATTTGTCAAATGGCATTTCCGCAGCCAGGCAAAAAGCAAAGTTAAGTACACAGGCCACTCCCCAGGTGTGCAGCTGTGTGCAGCCTCGCTCTCTGCCATTTTTCATCAGAGCGCAGCCACTCTCGCCTGTCCCTGTGGTGGGACCACATACCTCAGGGAGGCCCCAGACACAGATGGAGGCGGTGGGGTTGAGTACAATAGCAGAGGGGTCCCTTCGGACTTTTTCTTTCAAAGTAGGAGAACAGCAGTTTATTGGAGCACTTTTTGATCTTCAGTTATCTTTATTTTATTCTATTGCCACATGGCTTTTATTAGCTTTTCAAAATTAATATTGAGTTATTCCTAATACTCGGTACCTAGATGCACAGACATAGCTGGATTCCTAAGCCACGTGGCATCTTTGTGATTCCACAGCATAAAACTGAAAACATCGAGCTTGTTTCCTATCATGGACTTGAGTTGTTTCAGTGGGATGGCTAAACAGAAAACAGCAAATTAATCAGTAACACATGAAAAATGAGAGCTGCCAGCAATTCCCTCTGTCTTCTCTAAGGTTTCTCAGGACCATCTGCAGAGCTATAGAATTTCCAATATATAGTTATGCTCGCATGTTCCAGCTTTAAGAAATATTGATTTTCTCCAGTTGCATCATTTGAGATGGGATGTTTCTTGCAGTTTTGAGGTGTACCTTTAGGGGGGTAGTGTTTCATGAAAAGCTGTTAAATTGGACATAATCTTTATATAAATGCTATTTTAGAACCAAGAAAATGAGGAGTTTTGGATGTTTTCTGTGAAAACATCAGTCCCCCCCGTCAAGTGTCTTTGATGAGCCTTGGAAGGCTCACCGGGACACACAGCTCGGAGCCCCTTCTAACGGCCCCTCTGGAGCTCAAAGGAAGACAGAGCACATCTGTGCCCTCCTTGGTGCTCACCGGCCTGGGGGGTGTGGAAGTTGTACCTGGGAAGGGAGAGGCATCTGGGCTGGAGCCACTGAAAGGGATGGGATGAGCTATAGAATCTCCATGCCCGTCAGTGTCTCAGGAACTGATTGGTCTCCCCATCTTGGATGTATTCCTCCAGACTCCATCTCACTTTCCTGCTAAATGTTTAACAAGCCCTTTAAATACTCCCGCCATCATTGAAGGGGAGTTGGGAAGCAATGTGTCCAGTTGACTCTAATCCCATGGGAGCCAGCACAGCACTAGTCCAGGGGCCTGGGATTCAGCTGGTCAAGACACCAGCTGGTCAGCTCCCCACTTGTTACCGTCTGGAGCTCCGCTGTGGCGGTTGAGCTGTCGTGGCCTCTTTTGCTCCCAAGGCGCCATCAACTAGTCTCTGAATGAGCCAGCTCTGGCTTCAGGTGGCTCTGAATTAGTTTGCTGGGATTGTGCTGGTAGATAAAAAGGCCAGGCACAGTCCCTTCTTGGGCTCAGCTTTGGAAGGGATGATGACCTGGAAACTCATTTCCCTGTATATCCTCACTGTTAAAAACGTGTAAGCACTTACAGAGGATTTTTTTAAACTTTTAATTTTATATTGGAGTATAGTCGATTACCAATGTTGTGTTAGTTTCAGGTGTACCACAAAGTGATTCAATACATGTACATGTATTTATTCTTTTTCAAGTTCTTTTCCCATTTAGGCTGTCACATAATATTGACCAGTTTCCCTGTGCTATACAGTGGGTCCTTGTTGGTTATCCATTTTAAATATAGCAGTGTGCACACGTCAATCTCAAACTCCCTATCCCTTTCCCCCCCACCCTACCCCCTGGTAACCATAAGTTGGTTCTCTAAGTCTGTGAGTCTGTTTCTGTTTCTTACAAAGCATTTTTAATAAAAGTCCAAGAGGCAGGCAGATAGGGAAGAAGAAAGTAAATGAAAAAAGAGCTATTCCCAGATCCTCCAGCATTTAGATGGCAACCCCAGACATGCCTTGAAATAGCCTGTTATAGTGGAGAGCCCTGTTACAAAAGTAAAAATGAACCTCTGTCCTAAAAATGACAACCTTTAATTCAAAGGAGTAGGGGCTTCCCTGGTGGCGCAGTGGTTGGGAGTCCGCCTGCCGATGCAGGGGACGCGGGTTCG